CAATCTTTTCAACAAATGGTATTGGGAAAACTGGGTACTCACATACAAAAGAATGAAGTGGGACCTGGCCAGGCGCGGTGGCTCACGCCTGCAGTCCCAGCACTTTGGGAGGCTGAGGTGGGCAGATCACGAGGTCAGGAGATACAGACCATCCTGACTAACATGGTGAAACCCTGTCTGTATTAAAAATAGAAAAATTAGCCGGGCGTGGTGGTGGATGCCTGTAGTCCCAGCTACTCGGGAGGCTGAGGCAGGAGAATCGCTTGAACCCGGGAGGCGGAGATTGCAGTGAGCCGAGATCGCGCCACTGCACACCAGCTTGGCAACAGAGCGAGACGCCGTCTCAAAAATAAAAATAAAAATAAAGAATGAGGTGGGACCCTTACCTTCACAACACATACAAAGATTAGCTCAAAATGGATCAAACACCTAAACCTAAGAGTTAAAACTATGTTTGAGAAGAAAACATAGGGGAAAGATTCCATGACATTGGATTTGAATGATTTCTTGGCTATGACACCAAAAGCTCAGGCGACAAAAATAAAAATAGATAAATTGGACTACATAAAAATGTAAAACGCCTCTGCATTAAAAGGGCCAGTCAGCAAGAAAAGGCAGGCCACAGAATGGGGGAGATACTCGAAAAATCATATAACTGATAAGGAGTTAATATCCAGAATATCTAAAGAACTCCTACAACTCAGCAAAACAGCTTGATTTTTTAAATGTGTGAAATACTTAAATAGACATTTCTCCAAAGAATATAACATCTGCAAATGACCAATAAGCACATGAAAAGATCCTCAACATCTCTGTCGTTAGGAAAATGAAAATCAAAATTACAGTGAGATACTTGACGCCCACTAGGATGGCTACTAATTTAAAAAAAAAAAAAAAAAAAAAAGAGCCAAGGCAGGCAGATCACTTGAGCTCAAGAGTTTGAGACCAGCCTGGGCAACATGGTGAAACCCCATCTCTACTAAAAATACAAAAACTAGCCGGGTGTGGTAGCACGTGCCTGTGGTCCCAGCTACTCAGGAGGCTGAGGTGAGAGGATTGCTTGAGCCCAGAGGGTCAAGGCTGCAGTGAGCCAAGATCATGCCACTACACTCCAGCCTGGGTGACAGAGCAAGACCCTCCCTGTCTCTAAAAATAAAACTAGTGCTCGCTTCAGCAGCGTATAAACTAAAATTGGAACGATACAGAGATTAGCACGGCCCCTGCGCAAGGATGACATGCAAATTCGTGAAGCAGTTGCATATTTTTAATAAGTGGTGTTGGGAAAACTGGATATTCATATGCAGAATGAAACTAGACCCCTCTCTCACTGTATACAAAAATCAAATCAAAATGGATTAAAGAAATCTAAGACCTCTGCCGGGTGCAGTGGCTCACACCTGTAATCCCAGCACTTTGGGAGGCTGAGGCGGGCGGATCACGAGGTCAGGAGATTGAGATCATCCTGGCTAACACGGTGAAACCCCATCCCTACTAAAAATTCAAAAAATTAGCCGAGCATTGTGGCGGGCACCTGTAGTCCCAGCTACTCGGGAGGCTGAGGCAGGAGAATTGCTTGAACATGGGAGGTGGAGGTTGCAGGTGAGCAGAGATCACACCACTGCACTCCAGCCTGGGTGACAAGAGCAAGACTCCATCTCAAAAAAAAAAAAAATCTGAGACCTCAGACTGTGACACTGCGACAAGAAAACATTGGGGAAAATCTGCAGGACGTTGGTCTAGGCAAAAATTCCTTGAGCAATACCCCACAAGCACAGGCAACCAAAGCAAACAGGGACAAATGGGATCACATCAGGCTAAAAAGCTTCTGCACAGCAAAGGATGCACTGAGTATAGTGAAGAGACGACCCACAGAATGGGAGAAAATATTTGCAAACTACCCATCTGACAAGGGATTAATAACTAGAATATATAAAGAGCTCAAACAACTCTATAGGAAAAAAATTAATAATCTGATCAAAAGATAGGCAAAAGATTTGAGTAGACATTTCTCAGAAGACAGACAAATGGCAAACAGGCATATGAAAAGGTGCTCAACATCATTGATCATTAGAGAAATGCAAATGAAAACCACAATGAGATACTATCTCATACCAGTTAAAATGGCTTATCCAAAAGACAAGCAATAACAAATGCTGGAGAGGATGTGGGGAAAAGGGAACCCTCGTACACTGTTGTTAGGAATGTAAATTAGTACAACCACTATAAAGAACAGTTTGGATGTTGCTTACACAAGTAAAATTGAGCTATCATATATTCGGCAGTCCCACTGCTGGGCACATACCCCAAAGAAAGAAAATCAGTATATCAAAGAGATATCTGGACTCCTATGTTTGTTGCAGTACTGTTGACAATAGCTAAGGTTTGGAAGCAACCTAAGTGTCCATCAACAGATGAATAAATAAAAAAAATATGGTATATATACACAATAGAGTACTATGCAGCCATGAAAAAGAATGAGATCCAATCATTTGCAACAACATGGATGGAACTGGAGATCTTTATGTTAAGTGAAATAAGCCAAGTACAGAAAGACAAACATCACATGTTCTCACATATTCATGGGATCTAAAAATCAAAACAATTGAACTCATGGACAGAGAGAGTAGAAGAATGGTTACCAGAGACTGGGAGGGGTAGTGGTGGGGGTGGGTGGGGATGGTCAGTGGGTACAAAAAAAGTCAGAATAAATAAGACCCACTTGATAGCACAACAGGGTGATTATAGTCAACAATAACTTAATTGTACATTTTAAAATAATATGAAGAATGTAATTGGATTGTTTGTAACTCAAAGGATAAATGCTTGAGGGGATGAATACCCCATTCCCATTCTCCATGATGTGCTTATTTCACATTGGATGCCCGTATCAAAACATCTCATGTGTCTCTTAAATATATACACCTACTATGTACCCACAGAAATTAAAAATAAGTTTTAAAAAGTAAGTGTTAATGTCCTCATGGAGAAATTGGAACTGCTGCTGTATACTGTTTTTTGTTTTTTAGGGTTTGTTTGTTTGTTTGAGACAGAGTCTGGCTCTGTCACCCAGGCCGAAGTGCAGTGATATGATCTTGGCTCACTGCAAGCTCTGCCTCCCGGGTTCACGCCATTCTCCTGCCTCAGCCTCCTGAGTAGCTGGGACTACAGGCACGCCCCACCAGGCCCAGCTAATTTTTGTACTTTTAGTAGAGATGGGGTTTTGCCATGTTGGCCAGGCTGGTCTCGAACTCTTGACCTCAAGCGATCTGCCTGCCTCAGCCTCCTAAAGAAAGTGCTGGGATTACAGGTGTGAGCCACCACGCCCAGCCCTGTGCACTGTCAGTGGGAATGTGAAATGGTGCAGCCACTGTGGAAAACAGTATGGCAGTTCTTCCAAATATTACACATATACCTTGCAACTATGTATCGCTATTATGCATCAATTAAAAATAAATAAACAATAGAATGGGAAAACAATAAAAATAGAACTGCCATATGATCCAGCAATTTCACTTCTTGGGTATACACCCAAAATAACTGAAAACAAGCATGAGCAGATACTTGTAGCCCCATGTTCATGGCAGCATTATTCACAGTTGACAAAAGGTGGAAGCAACGTAAATGTCCGTAAACAGAAGAGTAAATAAACAACTTCAGTGTGTGCCAGTGGAATGTCACTCAGCCCTGTAAAGGAAAGAAATTCTAGCACTTGCTACAACATGGATGAACCTTGCGGACATTATGCTAAGTGAAGTAAGCCAGTCCCAAAAGGACAAACGCTGTAAGATCCCGTTATGTGAAGTACCAAGAGTAGACAAGTTCATAGAGACTGAAAATAGAGTGATGGTTGCCAGCACTGGAAGGAGGGGGAATGGAAAGTTCCTGTTTAATGGGGACAGAGTGTCTGTTTTGCAAGACGAAGAGTTATGTGGATGGATGGTAGTGAGGGTTGCAAGACACTGTGAATGTGCTTAATGCCACTGAACTGTATGCTGAAAACAGTTAAGATGGTAAATTCTGTGTTGATGTGTATTTTAGCACAATTTTTTTTATTTTTTTGTTTTTATTTTACTTTAAGTCCTGGGGTACATGTGCAGAACGTGCAGGTTTGTTACATAGGTATACATATGCCATGGTGGTTTGCTGCACCTATCAATCCGTCATCTAGGTTTTAAGCCCCGCGTGCATTAGATATTTGTCCAAATGCTCTCCCATCCCTTGCCCCCCACCCCCCAACAGGCCCTGGTGTGCAGTGTTCCCCTCCCTGTGTCCATGTGTTCTCCTTGTTCAACTCCCACTTATGAGTGAGAACATGCAGCGTTTGGTTTTCTGTTCCTGTGTTAGTTTGCTGAGAATGATGGCTTCCAGTTTCATCCATGTCTCTACAAAAGACATGAACTCGTTCTTTTTTATGGCTGCATAGTATTCCATGGTGTATATGTGCCGCATTTTCTTTATCCAGTCTATCATTGATGGGCATTTGGCTTGGTTCCAAGTCTTTGCTGTTGTAAATAGTGGCACAATTTTTAGACAATTGTTTTTTAATCCATTATAATATTATTAACTCCTTGTATTTATAGCATTTTATTTCCTTTTGCTTGCTTTTGGAGAGAACATACAGAAATTTGTGATTTTAAGCCCGGGCATGGTGGCTCACACCTGCAATCCCAGCACTTTGGGAGGCTGAGGCCGGAGGATCACTTGAGCCCAGGAGTTAAAGACTACTCAGGGCAACATAGTAGAGACCTCATCTCTATTGAAAATGAAAAAAATGAGCAGGTGGTCCTGACTCTGCAGGAGGCTGAGGCAGGAGGATCACTTGGGGCCACGAGGTCGAGGCTGCAGTGAGCAGAGATCATACCACTTCATTCCAGCCTGGGTGACAGAGCAGGACCCTGCCTCCAAAAAAACAAACCACAGAAATTTGTCATTTTTAATATGAGCACTACTCCTGAGGGGTTTGTTCATAAGTATTTAAATGTTCTTTTTTTGCTTGAGAATTGATTATTCACTTTCCCTTTCTTCTAAAAGTTATAGGGATTTGGGGGTGGTGGTTTTGATTGATTTTTATTTAACTGTTTAAGCCATCTCAAATTTTATTTTGGTGTGATGTGAAAACACTTTAATTGACTTTTTTCTGCATATAGTTAATCAGTTGTCTGCCCCAAGATTGCCAAGCAATTATCTAATTCTTCCCCTTCCACTGATTTGAGATACACTCTTTATTATATTACATTTGTGTCAACATATTTCTCAGTTTGGGGCTGTGGCTTGTGTTCCATTAATCTGCCTCTTTTGCCCCATCACACTGTCATTAATTCATATAGCTTTATAGTTGGTAGGACTAGCCTTTCTCATTAGTAGTGTTCTCATTCTTCTTGTTCTTTTATTTTTTGCAGGTGAACTTTCGAATACTTTTGCTAAGTACCTGGAAAAATAGAGGCCCACCAGAATTTTAATTGGAAATACTTTAAACCTGTAGATCAGTTCGGGGGAAAATTATCAGCATAGCTGCAGTATTTATATTTTTATATTTCCAATTCAGAAGTATACCTTACCTTTATTCAAGTCTTCTTTTCTTCCCTCATATTATTTGTTTATTTATTTCTATCTTAGAGTCTGTTTTATCAGTGACGGCCAGATCAGCCTTGGAGTTCTTTAAAGAACTACTTACATGCATAGGGTTTCAAAAGAGCCTGGGGTAAATCACTAATAAAGGCGAGATCCTTTGATCTGAGATCATTAGGAAAAATACATCAAAAAGTGTCTTCACTATTTCTTTGACTGCTATTCCGTATATTATATATAAAGCTCTTTGGAGCCTTTCCCCCTTATTTCTGTATTCCCACTCATCAGCACAGTCATAGGCTAGGCACATTTTTTCATCTTATCTCATACGAAATATTAAATCATTGGCGAGCAGGTCTCTGTCTCTTTAAAGCCCAGATCTTCAATAAGCATCTGCTCCTGGGCTCCTTCCTGAGCCACTGAACACCTCGTTCCTAATTGTGTCTGAGTTCATCTGGCATCACTCGGAGGAGGAGGAGGCGGCTGGGGTATGTGGCAGTGAGAGCCATCAACACTGCTTCGTAGTGGTCGTTGGTGATCGGTGGCCGTCCCCTCCAGACAGACAACCCACAGGTCAGCAGTGAAGGCCCAGAGGCAGGAGGGCAGCTAAGATCTAAATTCCTGTTACCCAACTGAAAGCACGTGCTCTTTAAAAAAAAAAAATTAATTCTGCTGTTCAGATAGCAGTGAAGCCAGGGCAGGTGTGAGGTCAGCAGGCTGCTCAGGTGGTGCGTGCCCACTGCCCACATGTGTCAGAAATCACATCATCTCCTGGCCAGCTATGGAATCCAGCAGTGTCTTGTCAGCTCTGGGGAAAGAGGGGGAAGAGAGGGATTTGGTTTGCTTTTATCTATTTATTTATTTTAGTTGCTATTGATACACACAATAAAAGCTACATTCTCGTAAGGGAGGACTTGATTAGCAGCCCTGAAGGGTGGTGGCAGGTCCCTTACTCATTGGATGTACCTGGCGCTAAACCCTCAGCTGAACTGTGAGCCCTAGCTGTGTCTCAGGTGTTTCTTACTCTACTATCAATCATGTTTAGGAACTAAAGGGCTTTTGTATCGTTCACAAGTGGGGGAACAGAGCAGAGGAGCTGTGTGAGAGACTATTAAAAATGAGGAGCCATAGTTTGGACAAAGTTTCTTGTTGGTGTGAAGAAAGGAGGAATTTTTTTCAGTTCTACCTGCCAAAGAGGCTTTTCTTATAGTTTGTTTTCATTTGGAACTACTAATAACATTGATTTTTGTAGGGAATCATCTCACCGCACCCCCTCATGGGATCCTGCAATACTCCAATTCAGAAATAATGTTTTTCTCCTTGGAATAGCTTTTTACATTAAGCTTATTTGAAGATAGAAAACTAAGATCCGAATAGTAGCTTTTAATAGCCCCATAAAAATAAGTGAAATATCTTTAATTTTAAATTTGAACAATATCTAAAACTTAAAAAGTATTTAATATGTCAGCATCTTTGCAATACAAAAATACACACACTGAATTTCATTTTATGCCTTTTTCCTCCCAAGGCCAGGGGATACAAATATTTCAATTTGTGTCACTTTCTAGCTATCGAATTTATAAAACAGCTTTCATTTTCTATGTAAGTTTTTAAGCTTAATTTTTTCAGGAAAAAATAGATCTCAAGAAAAAAAGTGTTTGGGATCATAAGTTAATAACTTGTCCTATTGGTAAAGGAAGTTGAATAAGAGTCCAAACTAATGGATTAGAATTGTGTAATATTTGATTAGCCATTTGTTAAAAAACAACGAAACAAAACAAACACTGAGTTGCCAGAATCCTACCTAAGATGCAGATATTAATTAGAACTAGCAAGTCGAAGTTGCACAGGTGGGTATAAAATGAATTTGGGATCCCTAACTGGGAAATGCTGAAGTTCACGCAGACGTAGACACACAGTTTTTGTTTGTTTGTTTGTTTGTTTTTTGGTAGCTCCCTCGGAATCATGCGTTTACAGTCTGGCCAGGGTTGTGGCCTCCAGTACTTCCCCTAAGAGATGGGATCTTTGCCTAAAAGTTACTGAGAAACGAAGGCTGCAGAAAGCCGGAAAATGTCCAAGCTTTTAATGCACACTGACAGCCAAACAGAACGCTCTTTCCGTTTGCAGTTTTTTTTAGTGTCATTTTAAGTTGCAGCTTCCGGCCAATCAGCGCGCTTCATGCCTGCTGACATCACGAACCAGCCAGTTCCCTCCAGCTGCAGAGAGCTTCAGTTTGCCTTTTTTTTTTAAACTAAAATGGAGGCTGGTTTCTTGCCTTAAGGAGCCCATTGCCTTTCCCGCTGAAGTCTAGATGTTGACATGTAATAAAGCGGGCAGCAGGATGGTGGTGGATGCGGCCAACTCCAATGGGCCTTTCCAGCCCGTGGCCCTTCTCCATATTCGAGGTAAGTTATTGTGTGTTTCACTGAATCGGAACCTTCCGTGGGTAGTTAATAAATGGCTATTGTGCTTCAGATAAGAAAAGCAGGAAGTCCTTTCTAGCAGAATTCCCCCCATTTCGCTGCAGACTGAAGCAGAGGAGGTTGGGTGTGTCACTGCAGTTTGGCATTTTACGAACTACTTACAGAATTTGAGGCTTGAAAGAGGCCTTGCATGCATAGTTCAAAGCTGGTTTTTCTGCTTTCTGCTCGCTCTCCCATCCCCCTTTCAAAGCTGTGCTGATGTCAAAGGATGTGAAGTCACTGCCCAGGGAAGGTATTGGGTGGGGGTAGGAAGGAGAGGCGGGCCCGTCGCGCCTGGCCAAGTTGTCCGTACGCAGAGTTTCTGTTAAATCTGTGTTGCTTAATGCTGCAAAGGTTTTGTCGAGGACACATCTCAGAATTAAAGATGAATTGCAGTCAGAAAATATGCACAATTGATTGGAAAAGAACTTCCTTTAAAAGGATTGTTTTCATTCTTGCCGTGGAGCCTGAGAGAGAAATATGCTCCACTTTGAAATCCTGAAATCTGTCCTGGGTCATCGTTTTTGAAATGTTAACGTTTTCGTGGAATATTAGGAAATATTTTGCATTTAAATAGGCTCTGTATTGCCATTTGACTTTTAAAATGTTAAATGGCAGCAAGTTTTCAAGGTATATGGAGATCACTATTAATAATTACAGTTTGCCTCTTTTTATGCATATTTTGGTTTCAAAACTGAGCCTAAAAGCACAGCTACTCTAGTAATTAATAGTAGTTATGTTGAACCACAGGCGTCAGGGTAGTAGCCTACTTATTCTTGGTATTTTAAGATCTATGAATTTTTTTGGTCATAATTGAGTGAAATAGAAAAATGATTTTAAGTTTCATCAGATCACTTTAGAATTTATAGTATCAGAGCTGTGCCCCAACAAAACTGTTTCTCAGAATCTCTTTTAAGGATATATTTAAGGAAGGGTGGGAGCAAGATTTCTAGGTGACTAATAATCTCTCTGACTAAAATGCCAGACCAGACTTTTCAGATCACAGGGTGTACCCAGGCACATGCATACCCAATCTACTGGAATAAAATGGGTGGTGCTTTTCTCTCCACACCATCTTTCATGAAGGTGGAAACCAGCATTCAATGACCACATTGTAGGACAGGCTGTGAATTTATTGTTTTTGTAGTGCACCCAGTAAAAAGCAAAGGTTGCCTATAGGTAACATTCAGGTATTTTAGCTGCAAGAACCAAATGGGCAAGAATAAAATGTAATTGTTTGGACTTAAGTTAAATAGTTTTTGTTTTTTGGGAGACAGGGTATCACTCTGTCACCCAGGCTGGAGTACAGTGGTATGATCACAGCTCACTGCAGCCTCCACCTCCTGAGCTCAGCTGATTCCCCCACCTCAGTTTCCTGAGTAGCTGAGACTTCAGGCACGCACCACCATGCTCAGCTAATTTTTTAATATTTTTTGTAGAGATGGGGTTTCGCCATGTTGCCCAGGTTGGTCTCGAACTCTTGGGCTCAAGCGATCCTCCCACCTCAGCCTCCCAAAGTGCTGGGATTACAGGTAAGAGCCACTGTACCCGGCCAAGTTAGTTCTTAAAAACGAACTAGTTAGCAGTAAGATAAATTGACTGCATATAAAATGTAAATTTTTATGCTTTTAAGGTATCCACTTATAAATAACATAAATCTTTTTGATTTGTGTTTTCTGGTTTTTATTTGATGCCTAATATACTACTCAGTTTTTGAATTATGAACTTATTCTGAAATAGAATCATGTCATGTTGTATCTTGAACCACATTGATTTTTCTTTTTTTTTAATTCCAAGAGCTTATTATAGCCAGTTTGGATTTGGTGCTGTTGGTTGGGTGGTTTGTTGCTTGCTGTATAATTGTGGAGGGAAAAAGTAGTGAAATGTATTAGCCTGAAAGAGACTTGGGTTTTTGATAACCTTTGGAGACCTAAGACTAACTTCTGACTCAAACAGTGGGGGTGATTTCTAACTTCAAAATTTGAAGAACGCTTGACTTACTCATGAAGACTTTGTGGAGCAAGCGTGTTAATGTGAGAGGTAGCAAAATTTGATTTATTTACTGGGCTTTAGAGTCTTAGCTTAACCTCCATTGAGCAGCTCCTGTGTGCCAAGTGCTGAGGATCATTGAAGTGATTAAGTCGCAGCCCCTGTCCCAAAGGAGCGAATGGTTACATGGAGAGGCCCAGCATAGGAGCTCTGCCATGAGAGGGCTAGAGCAAGAACGCACCGGCAGGGTGCCGGGGAGAGCAGCGGCTGGTGTCGTGATGCCATGATGCCGTGAGCAGAAGGAACCGAGGAGGGCTGCGCCCTGGACTACCCTGCTCACGCGGATGGGGTAGGGATGCACTGTCCTTCTCGTTTATTTAGGGAGGAGGGGTCTTTTCCACTGAAGGAGAAATAACTTACCCAAGGTTACACAACCTAGAAGTGGTGGAGCCAGAATCCAAACCCAGATTGTTGTGTTGTTTCGTTTTGAATCTTTTTTAAAAAATCATTTTAAAATAGGAATGTTGGCTGCTTGAAGAATATTTTGCTACAGGATTACAATAGTGGTACTTTCCCTAATGCCTTATCATTTATTTGGCTCGGTGGCCTCTTTTTGTGTAACAGTTTTGTACCTTGGGCTCATTTCTTAATCATTTTACAAATATTGATTGATCCATACCACATGCCAGGCAGGGTTCTAATGTGGATATGAGCAGGGGCTATGGCCCAACTTTCCCAGTTTACCATCCACCGGGGTGGGGACCAAGTAAGCAAGTAAAGTGATCACCTGATTTGTTGTCACGATCGCTTTGACCATTACTGTCTACCAAGTAGTCTGGAGTTTGCGATTAAAATGGCGAATTTGCATATCCTAATAAGTTCAAGTGTGAAAGGGACATATTTTTGAGGGTTAGTGTAAGGCCTTCTGTCTGTAGAAGGAGAGTCACCTGGAACTTGATGACTGTGAATGTGGCTTGGTGTGACGTCAATCCTTACCCTCAGCTGTGTCCAGGAGACCTGCCTGCTGTGGTGGAAATGTTCTGTGCTGTCCTCTGCAGCAGCCCCTGGTCAACTGCGACTGCTGAGCACTTGACATGTACAGCTGAGAAAGTGAATTTTTAACTTTAGTTATTGTAAATGTAAGTGGACACACATATCTAGTGGCTACGATCGATTGGACAGCACAGTCCTAGACTGGAATTGTTCAACTTTTTTTGGAAAAGGGCCAGATTGTAAGTAGTTTTGGCTTTGTGGGTGAAAGCAGCCACAGACAGTAAATGAATAGGCCTAACTGTGGTCCAATAAAGCTTTATTGACAAACAAGTGACAGGCTGGATTTGGCCCATGGGCCATAGTTCACCCACCCTGTTCTAGACTGCTCTTTGACTTTTGGAATTGCCTGTTAAGGATAGGAAAGCATGTTTCCTGCAGGCCTTTGGTCTAGTGCCTCCTCCCTATGCTGGGAAGCTGGGCCAGCTGTGATGCTGTGAGGCGTGGTGGGCGGGCCCGCTTCCCACCCTGCAGCGCATGCTCACTTCAGGAGCCAGGTTTAAGGCAGTGACAGCCAAGCCAGAAAGATGGTAATGGCCAGAGAGGAATCACACAGTTTTGAGCCTTTTCCAGCTGGCCTTTATTCTGGGCTTCAAGAATGTTATTAACTGCTCTCATCTTGTTCTAGTCATTAGCAAACTTATCCAGTGGATGAGTCTGTCTTTGAAAGACTCAGGAGTAGCTCCAGCCTAGTGGGATGTTGGAGAACAAATCATTCTTTTGATGGAAACTCATTTTTTCTTGGGAAGTGGAGGTCTGATGGATAAGTTTATTTTCTCACAAGTACTTCCGAGTCACCAGTTTGTTGAAGGTCTTTACCTTTCCAATAAAAATTCATTTAAAAACATGCAAGAAGCAAGCATAGAACTCAAACCCCATGGTTTTCATTTCCTGCTGCACTAAATCTGGTGACTTAACCTACATTAATAATAATAACAATAGCTATTATACATAATGCACATGGGTTACTAAATTAGTAACACACCTGCATGGTGTGAAGTCAGTAAGTCCTAGTGAGAATGGGTGCCCCTTGTTATCTTTATTACCTAAAATTAGGAAGGAAAAATGTTTGAATGATGACTAAACAGATTCTTCAAATGATTAAACCGGTGGTTCTCTGAACAGTGCCTCAGCTCAAGATTTTTGCTTCATAAACATCTATGTACTATGTAACTGTAGCTCCCTGCAAAGTGACCTTATAGAAATACAGCCTTAACCTTAAACCTGTATCTTATCCTGTGTCCAGTCCTGTTTCCTATATGTAAAGTTGTTTCTTCTGTATTCCTGGTGGTATGGAAGGTAACCAGAGTAACAGATAACTCTCTGAGGAAACGGGTGGGTATGTTTGTGTAAAGTCTGTACACCTTTTTGTTCGTTAAGCACACACGCACATTTATGCTCAAACACACTCTCATCCACCTCCCTTACCATACGCTCTCAATCTCAGAGGCAAAAACAAAAACTTACCATTCAACTTGGGTCTGATGTCTGCTCAGGAGGTTTTGCCTTGCAGCAAAAGCTATCTTCTAAAATTTTTTCATTAAAGTATGTTGTGTAGAGAAATGAAAGAAAAATAAAGTTAAGGTTATTAGTCAAGAATAGGGTGTGTGTTTTTAAACCCAGGAAAAGAATAGACAGAAACACAAAGACAAAGTGGTTTGGGATACATCCTAACTTTTGGTTCCACATGTCAAATGAAATTGCAAGGTGGTTCTTTTTGGATCCTACAGCACTTTGCCAATTATGACAAGCTGTTATGAACGCTCATATACTTCTTCCTCCCAGCACTCCTGCCTGGCAGGTGAGCAGGACAATCCTAGTATTTCTCCTCCCCAAGGTCACCCAGCCTAGAGGGCCCAGTCCAGGGCTGTTGGCAGCACTGAGTATGAGGTCCCGAAGCTGCTGCTGGTGGCTGTCCCAGAGGAGAAGCAGCATGCATTGAGTGCCTTCAGTGTGCTGGATCATGGCTGAAACCCTGTACCTCTGTTCTCTCTCTGAATCTGCCCAGCACTGTGAGGCATTATAATCCTCCCCCACTCACTGCCACCCCTGCCTTTTTTTCCCCCCCGGGAGAAAAAAAGGGAGCCTCTTGCCAAGGGCCACCGAGAATGTAGTGAAACAAGATTTGAGCCTCAATCAGTCTGATAGCAAAGCTCATGTTCTTTGCTCTGCAGACATCAGAGTGTTGAGAGA